TTAGTATTCGAACATTACTTGTATGTTACTAGTAATTAACCACTTCCTATTTGGATAGGTCGATAGTTCTAATGTCCCCACTGAGAAAAATAATGTAGTGGAGCAAGGGAGGGAAAATGAAGTGTCTCAAACACTGATGATATTTTATGGCGGTTACTTCTACCTCTCTTGTTAGTCTGAAGTAGAAAAGGGTTATTTTCAATGGCAATAAACTTGTTATTTATCAGTAAGTCTGTGTCGGCCGCTATGAACTTGATTTCCAAATTCTAAAATTATCACGATGTAGCTTCATTCCCCTTAGTCCCTTGGAAATTAAATATAAAACACAAATTAGCCTTTTTGTCTGAAATATAGCTGAAAGAGCCCTTATTGAATGAATTAAGTCAAAAAAAAAAAGCCAAATAAAAGAAATGAGTTAGATTACACCCAAGCGGATGGCCATGAGGGATTCAGGTACAATATTTTTACTAAATGTTTTTTACCCACCTTGATTCCTACCGTGTTCGGGGAGTACCCGTTCACACGTGTTGGGATATTTTTAAATCCGCAACTTTTTCTTTGCGGATTCGGATTCGGCATTGTTTTGAACACGCTATGAATCCGAAATCGTGTGGACTCTAAATCCGGATAATTTAATAGCCCGTGACGTCAAGATCGAGCCTAGTTGGTTACCGTGAATATTCAAGACGGTGCCGAGAGCAATGTTGTCGCTTTTTTACTTCTATTTTAACGTGTGTGCAGTTAAACCTCGCAAGGATTACTGTGCACCTCAACTATACCAAACGGCAGCTCGACATTTTGATATTCACTTTGATATTCAATTTCAATTGATATTTTTGGTATTGGGAATTGAATAAGGAATTGATCACTTAAGAAGAGTAAGGAACCTAATGAAACGAAACTGCCATCGTCATATTCGAACGATGGGCTGTAAAAAAGACATAGACTGGGTTTGATTGAGTCTCTTTGCAGAATAAACTGGATTGCCCAACTGTTTACAAATCTAAAAATATCTTTCGCTAAGAAGAAAAAGAGAAAATAAAATACATTACTAATCACCATTTTATAATTGAAAATTTTAAAATGTAAACGGGAAGTCTTGAATACATTGTCATAGAGCTACTCTTGTTGATGAAAGTGTCCGCATATTCAGAACCGGAAATGGGGGCTTTTCTCTCACGAGCTCTAGTCCCAAAGCTCCCAAAGCGTCAAAATGCAGACAAACGTTGTTAGAAAGAATATACAACGCTCGCTTTTTGCTTGTTGCTACCTAATTTTTCCCACCCTATCTCCTCGTTCCTCTCATCATTGTTGATTGCTTTGATGCTTTCCCTTAATTCATTACCAGTGTGGATTATTAACTGAAGTATCGAGAGCCACTACCTGAAGCAATATAAGCCTGATACCGTACTGTTGGGGAACCTGCGTACGATGTACGAGTTTGTGCATTATGGAATAATCCACCACGATATATTGACATTCTAAGACGACTCCGTGGCCTTCTGGTCATTTTTCTATATTTGGTTTGGTTTTCTTTGTGCTCAAGTCTCTTCTGGGAACTGCGTGACTATAGCCTTCTTGAGAAATTTGCAATTTTGTCCTTTGAGGCTCGGAGTCATATTTGAATTTTAATATATCGAACGTGGGCTGTTATTGATACAATAGTCACATAGTGAGAAAGAGCACGTCGGGCACGGATCTTTAGAAAATCACTAGCTAAGTTTGGTAGCAATGACAATCAACAAGATAACAGCAATTCAAAAACTTGAACTTCATTAAGAAATGTATGAATTGCCGGACACGTCTTTTAGAAGTCTACATATTTCTTGGTAAATTTTAAAGATTTTTGAATGGCTGTATCTCGTTCAATATTGGCCGATATGTAAACACCAGACCAGTTGAAAATCACATAGTACACGAGCACCTATCGTGACCGTGCACACTCCTCTTAGGTAAGAAGCCGGAGAATTATGTCTTGGTTTTACGAAGTTTTCACGGATGTTACGTTTTACATTGATTTATCGCTATTTTGCTACCTCTTCTTCAGTCTTCTGCGATTTCTTATTTTGGAGTCAACGATTATGAAAAGCGTGGGCGAAAGTAGCAATGGGAAGAGGAGAGAATCCATAAGAGAAAGCCCGCTCTCTACTTTTCCTTCCCATCACTCCCCGCTAGCTTATTGCGTTGGTTTCCATCATCCCTCACTCGAGCTTCTCTCTCGTCTCCAGTGAAACTCCGTTCCTCCCGCTTAGCTTTCGGAAAAACCAGGAGCCCATAACCCCGAGTGCTAGCGAGCAACTCCCATATTAGGCCTACGTCACGGCGTTTTTAGGGACCAGTTTGTTTTTAGACACATTTTGGGGTACTTTTTCCCGCGAAAATAGAATCTCCCCCATGTCTATGAGCGCATTCAAAGCATAAGATATCAAGAAGGAAAAGCTAAACGTTATCAAAAGGCAAAAATATCATTTTTAGGTCTGTAGGTTTTGCCGACTGGTTTGTGAAATTTAACAGATATTCAAAATTCGCGCGAAAACCGTTCTAAAAATAAACAAGTCCGTGTAAACGGAGTGACACGAGCGCATGGAAGTTGCTCGCTCCGGCTTATGGGCTCCAAAACCTGTGTAGGAAACAAGCTTATTTGAACTTCCCTAGCCCATAAGCCAGTCAGTAACAAATACTGAAACAAACCGCTTATTGAGTTTGAGTTTGAGTTTTGACCTGACGGAAAAAGAACACTGTCTGACATTTTGTTTTCGTATTTGCATGGCTGGCTACACGCACTCGCGCGGAGTACTGGAGTTAACAATAGCTTTAGTAAGTACGCAGGAAACTCCCATCCGGGAACTGCATTTAGTGTTACAGTCTCCCCCACGGGTTTTCTTTGAGTAGTTAATCAACGGTTTAAGTACGGTCGTGTAGCAGGCTAAACAAATTTATGATACTATTTTTAACGAGACTTCTGAATCTTGACCCAATTTTAGGGTGACCATTGCCCTTTCAAGTACTTCTATCACTAGGTGTAACAAAGAGAGGAATTACTCGAATCTCTCCTATTTGATGTTATTCCAGCTTAACTGGAGTGAGTTCGAGACACTTTTTATCTATATTTAGGAATCAAGAATTAAAACTCATAATCTAGATCTTGGTGAGAAGCAATCCCTTTTTTCTTTCTTGCATGATGATAAATAATTCATAGTGTTAGGTCAGCGAGTCTAATCAAATATTCACCCTCTCTTCTGTGAATCACATTTTTGATTGAAAAGAGTCAAACTTGAAGATTTCTTTCGCCATTTTAATTTCGTCTGAAATTTTCAATTCAATCACGGTGTTTACACTCACTCAATCAATCCTGGATATTAGCTGTCTGCCAAGACTTCGGGAACGAATTTCTGTAAATCAAGTATGAGGAAGCTGTTTCGCTAAAGATTAAGGATCCCATGCAATATTATGTAGGAGAGCCTAGACAAAGGTAAGGAAGGATAAAAAATAGAGCAATTTTAAATGAATTAGTTTGGAAAATTGTTAGTATTTTTACAAATTGAAATACGTTAAAAATATGGACCATGTGAACTACTCCGTTACGAATAAGTCTTATGTCAGTAAACTCAAGTCAAGAATTTCGAAATCTAACAGGTTGAAAATATGGCATTCCCGAAGTTCACATAGGCCACTAAAATATATTTGCCAATCAGATAAACTATTTTTGTTTAAACTATATGTAGAAATTGTTACCGACTCAACTGAAGGTGTATAAGTCAAACGGCCTGGCAAAGTACCTTGCTTTTCAGAGAGAGAGCAATACTCCTTAATTATTGCGGCCTTATCTCCAAATAAAGGAAATTATGGTTGTTACTGTTCACAGAGGTTTTTTTGTCGACGAAAACTGGCAAGAACCGGCACGAAAGTCAAGCCGGCGCAAAGTGCAAGAGAAGCGAGTTATTCAAATAGCAGGACGAAAAAATGGAGGGTTGTGACGGTGTAATGTTATTGATTCATTCAAGGAAAGAAAACGAAAACCATATCCTTTCCCTTCCTTGCATTTGTGGTCTTTAGTTAAGCTTCTTTATCATGTCTAATGAGCTAACGCCTACCAGTGAGACTCTTATTTGGTAACAAATACAGCGAACGGCGAGAGCTTTATGTTCCTTGGGATAACTCTACCGATTTTAAGAGAAATAAGGAGAGGGGAGAAGCGCCTTCTTAGCAGTCGTTTTCTTTCCATATCTCAAAGGGGTAGGAGATTCTTCTTCTGCTTTTCCTTAGGCGCCAATTCCCTCACCGCGGAAACAACTGGTTTATTTCCGGGTAATCCGGCGGTTTTCCCATCTCCTAAAAGCGAAACTCCAATTCGAACTGGAAAGTGTCTAGACAGGGACAATTTTATAAGAACGTAAACATTAGAAAGGTAGGTTAAAGGAAGTAAAGTTATAAGATATAATAGAGATTGGAGAATTTGAAATGATAGCATGGAACGGACACAAAGAACAGATTTCATAGATTTGAAGGTCCTATAGTTACTTTTTTTCAGTATTTTTTATCCATTCGTTGCTGCAAAGGGGGTACATGCCTGGATTAGCATGCCATGTCTTTCACATTTTATACCTGTTAATTTATATGATCATAGCAGCCATCACCTGATCAATCAAAGTATGCGGGATTCTCGAGAAACATAGTTGGTTCAATAAACATAACTGAAAGAGAATTCACCTTCGCCATATTTCCACATCTCCTTTTTGCCCCCCCCCCCCCACTTCACATGTTTTGCATACGCCGTGCCTTTAATTTCGCTTAGGACCTTTGTAATACCCAGGGGAAAATAAAAACAAAGGTTATGCAAAATTTGAGGTGGTAAACAAGGTGTATTATGAGAGATGTACAAATGGCGGAATACCCCAAAGCTAGTCCCGGCGTTTCCTCCTCTATTCAATTTTTGTCTCTTGCTAAAACTTAGCGATTCTTTTTCAGGTGGTGGTTGACGATACAAGTTAGTGACGAAGATGCACCGTGCCTGTCCTGTTTTTATATTTTTTCAAATTCTTCTTATATCAGAATTTCAACGGAAAGCATTATCTGATGATGGAGTGATTATTGCAAAGGATAAACAGATTCTAGTTTTAAGAGCTAGGCGGAGTGTCAGCGGCTCACAGCCGCTGATTCAAGGTTCAGTAGCTGGAACTCCGTCTGCCTTGAATATTGCATCATCATACAAAGGGCAGCCCTCAGGACAATCTCTGACGCCTTTTGCCCGGGCAACTGGGCAAAGCATAACGGCAGTGTCAGCGCAACCAGTAGTACAACCTTCTACGTTGAATGTCAAAACACAAACCGAAGGACAAGATACAAATTCAATTCAGCAAACTACGGGCCAGTCTAAAGGAACAGGGTTACCCAATGGCGAAGAACTCGAAGAAGATCCTGATATGGATCAAAATTCTAACGACGAATTGGATGAATATGACGATTCTGAAACTGATCCCGAAGTATTGACGGATTGTTGTCGACGCCGTCGTCGAAAATGTCATTGCTTTCGTCAACACTTTCGGTATCCTCGACGACGGCGATTACGGGGCGGGGGATCAAGACTAAGAGAACCAATGGACGATGATTATTATTTTGACAGGGACCGTGAACGGGTTGACGATTGGTTGGATTTTAGAGGATCCCCCGATTACTATGGAGACAATGCCGAGGGAGGTAATGGAGGAAATAGAGGAGGTAACGAAGGTAACGAAGGTAACACGGGAGGTTATGGTGGTACCGGAGGTAACACTGAAGGCACCGGAGGCACTACGGGAGGCTATGGCGGCACCGGAGGCACTGGAGGCACTAGAGGAGGCTATGGTGGCACCGGTGGTACTGGTGGAGGTTACGGTGGCACCGGAGGGACTGGTGGAGGTTACGGTGGCACCGGAGGGACTGGTGGAGGAGGTGGTGGCGGTGGTGGAGGAAGAGCTGAGGGAACTGGTAAGGAATTGACCACGTAAGAGCAATAAGGAACTTTATGAAAGAAATTGCCATTGCCATATTGGAACGATGAGCTGTAAAACAGGCTTAAAAACATATATAAATCGTTTTCACATGACCTCACTGCGGCCATGTTGCAGTGCAAAACCGTCAAACGTCGGTCACGTCGGTGTATAAAAAAAAATTCCTGTGGGGATTGAACTCTTTCATGATGTAAAAACTTTGATTTGTTCCGAAAAATTTGCAGAGCTGGTGGCCGCGTGAGTGGAAATGATCTTTACACCAGACACATTCTGTTCAGGGCCGTAGCCAGTATGAGGCGAACCGAGGCACTCGCCTCGGTAAAATTTTACCAAATACTGTCGATTTTTATTTTTTTTATCAGACTGATAATATTAGAAGATTTCATACGGCTGATTTCGTACAACGGACCGTGTGTTCGCCTCGGTTGTAGTTTCTTCCTGGCTACGGCCCTGCTGTTAATTTCCTATCATTTTTTTTCATACTCAGGAACAGTTTTGTAGCTCCTACAAGCTTATTCTTTCATCTTCAATTTATTGTTTAAATCTTTTTACTTACTCAGATTGTTGTTGTGTCAAGTGGGGAGGACTAAAACCTCACGTTGAGTGGGTAAACGTTCCAGTGTGTTACCGTCCATGTGAGTATTTTCCTGCTGTATGCACCGCTGCATTCATTTACTCTGTTCATTGTAAACTAGGGAACTTAAGATGGAGACGTTTTCGGGGCGACGGCGACCGGACTGGCAGAGAAAGCCTGGAACTAAGGCAGCCGTCGCTCCCCGTCAAAAATAGAACATTAAGATCGCAGTGAACTCAGAAGGACGGCGCCTTTAATTAGAAGAATACCGAAGAGGAAAATATGGCTTCACATAAAGAATTAAGAGAATAAATATTTGCTATGCAGACAACATGTATCGGATGAAGAGTTTCTCGTTTTGTGGAAAAATTATGAGTCCAAAAATCCCGATTTTCCTCGAGACAGTTACGATCCGTTCACGCTAAGAAACATGCGGGATGCAGCTGAGTTCAAGGCAGAATTTCGTGTTGAAAAAAAATGATCTCCACAGGCTTACCGAAGCCTTGCAAATTACAGGAACATTAAAATGCTACCAAGGAACCATATTCTTAGTTTGGCATTGAAATAATTCCCGGTAAATACTTGCATGCAACAACAACAACAACGGCAACAACTTTCTTTCAGTATTCCCACGCCGAGTTAGTACATGGTATTACCTACTATTCTATATAATTTTCAATGCGTTTCATTTATACGATGTTCTAACGAAAAGAGCGAACTAAAAACACACAATTGAAATATCGGAGTTCATATTTTTTGTCTGGATACTTTTATTTGGCTCGTGGGAAAATTTTGTCCCATGTCAAGCTCACTTACGGTTGGCTGTTTGCCAAGTTGGATCTTGACCCTGTGAAATGAAAACATAGAAACATTCAAAGATGTAAGTTTAGCGAACATAGCTTGGAAATCGAGCTTGAAATGTGCCTCAAAGAAAACAAGGACAATTTACGAACGATAATCTGCAAAATGTTGGTTGCTAAACGCAACAAACCTGATTGAAATGACAGTTAAATACTCACGTTTTCGCCACAACGCCAAACAGACCAGTTTCACGTCGCCGACGGGACCACGACGGCAAGGTGGTGAGCACGAGCATGCGCAATATCCAACAAATGATGATGTCACGTCCGGTTGAAGTTGCCGTCGCCCCGAAAACGTCTCTATCTTAAGTTCCCTAGTACTATGACAGTGACGGCGACGGGAACATCTTAGAAGCAGGTACATCACACTTTTGGACGTTTTGGGTATATTTCTTCGCCTTCTCTGAACGACTACGACGTGATCGTCCTATTATGACGTTTTTTGGAGGACGTATTAAAAACACGAAAACAAAGCTTTAATTCATTCTACTTGGTCCCTAAGATTTCATGTTTAGGAATTAAAATTGTCTTGCGTATGGGACAAAGTAATCGATTTGGAATAATCGCAATGAAGTTTTAAAGAACGAGATGCACTGTAAGAGGGACGTTTTCGACGCCGCCGTCATCGTGGTTACTTAATCTGTTTACCGTTCTCTCCTCACAAACGACTGTTGTTGTGTGGACTGTGTGTATGTGAACGCCTTCAGCTTTATTGTGTATCCTGGTTTTTTTTTCAGGCTGTATTGCCAAACCGCACTGCGAACATTGTTGTGACATTGATTGCCACCATTGTGCCTGTGAACCTTGCTGCGGTGGCTGTTGTTGCCATCACTGTCCTTGCTGTCATTGTTGTCATCATTGCTGCCACTGTTGTCATTGTAGGAGGGAAATAGTGGCAAATAAACCTACACGCGGTAAGACGTTTGAGTTAACCGTTCAGAATGGTAGGGCAAAAAGAAGAAAGGATTCGAGTCCTTCCAGAAACTATAAAATAGGGACGAACCATAAGCAATCCCAGAGTAGGAGAGAGTAAAAATTATCCCTCTCGGAGGAGTTTTCTTAACGACCTGAATTTTGTTTCCTCATGCAATATTTTGTATGAAACTATTTTCCTTGCGGGATTTGTTTGGGAACTGCCCTCTTTCCATCAAGCAATCTCCATGCATTCCGGAAGATATATAAGGGAAATGGGTCCAAGCTTTTGATCTTTTGTGTGTTTAATGTTGTATATGATTGGCCAACGGTTGCCTTGAATGCTATCGTCCAATCATAACTAACGCTTGTCCACCCAAAAGAACCCAGGAATCACGTTGCCTAAAGCTTGTACCCATTCTCCGTGGAGTCTCTGAAGATGGAGGTAGAAGAGAGAAAATTTTTTCTGGTTCATATGACCTAAGCGCGCCTCAACCTCCGTTGTATGCGTGTCCAATTATGTGCTACTCCTAAATCTCATGAGTGAGCCTGGTCGGGCTTTAATTTTCTTCAACTTTTCATTTGTTTGCCCTATTGAACGTTTTGTAATGTGCATATAACATGATACTAGCGCAATATAAGCTATTGGATAATCACATATTTACTCTGAGGTCCAAACAACTACAAGGAATCTTAACTTTACATGAAAGCAACACGATAGGACTTTTAAAGCAGAGCAATAGTGTAGTCAACAATAGCTTCTTGGTTGTTGTTGAGGACGTTTTCAGCATAGCGCACTGATACAAATACCAAGCCATCACTGCGCCTGACGACGCAGTCTCGTTCACTAATGCTTTTTATAATTGTTATTAGTAGTCTTTAGATATTAATTTTACGACAATTCTCTTTCGTACACAAGAAGAATGTGCATAGGGTATATATTTTAATATTTCATATTCTTGAATCTGTAAATAGTCTATTTTTTTAAATCTATGAATGAAGTTTTGTATCTTTTCAAAAAAAAAAAAATCATAATAATATGTCTTTAATTCGCCCGTTAAAATACATAACAAACGTTAGAGAGAGTAAAAGTATACAAATCATGAAAATCGCACAGTTCATTTACAATTATTATATAAAACCCGATAAAACATTGCATATCTATATTGTTAAATTGCCAAGCTGTATTGAGACCTTATTCTATTAAAATAGCAATTCTTAAAATGTTATGTATTAATCCGTGGTAATTGACTTGTTTGTGATCTTAACTTCTTGGATGACTCTTTGACTTTCGGCAAAAGGGCATATAATGGATGGTTAACATACATCAACAACATCAAGTTCTGCTGTAACTGACACTTTTGTTTACCAAACATGCCTTATTAGGTGTGTGGGAAAATAGCCTGCGTCCCGACGTAACTAACCCGGTTAGTTATGTCTGCGTAGCAGCGCCGATATCCTCGTTCTGGGCCCTCAACGGACTCGATGAATTACTAGAAATGCGTTTCAAATTTGTCTTTAACCTGTATACCGGCAAATTGGCAATGTTTTTTTTTTTAACAGGCTAATCATAGCGTGTACTACAACAACAACAACAGCAATAACAATAATTTATTTAACCACGTTATCGTCTAAAGGTACATCAAATGCTCGTTCAAAATACGAACGTGAAATCCTGGTAGATGGGTAGATAGGTGAGGGCCCAGAACAAGGATTTCGGCGCTGTTTCGCAGACGGACTCAACCACTAGTTAATTCCCATCTGTGGCGCAGGGTAGGGGGAAAAGTGTAGTCCCCAAATCCATTTATCCTTCAGTTCTTAATTTAGGGCATAGCGAGAACTATGTAGTAACGTTGAATCTTTCTGTATAATTATTTTAGGTCGAAGGAAGAAAGCAGCCAAAAGAAAACGAACTAAAACGCCAAAGAAAAAGAAATATCACAAAAGACACTGCTTCTGTGTGACGCCTCTTATAATGCGATTGCCATACTTCCCAAGACTGTGGTAAGCTTCATCTGCGTCCGTTGCCAACTACAAGGTTATCTCCAAGAATGAGTGGACACTAAACGACTTTTGTAGGTTCTTCGAGTCTAAAAATGTAGGAGAAGATAAAGGCTGTCTTGATCAAAAGTTAGGCTTCAGAAGTAAACAAAATAAAAACAACAAGCGCAAGAACCGCGTATTCCAGTCCTAAATCTTTGCTTGGAGTGATTTTCGATCAGATTATAAATCTGTGAACAATGTTACAGTTCAATAGACATTGGCGTCGTTTGGAAGAATTTTCTGGAGTCTAGCAAAAGTTAAAGAAAGAAAGTGTACAACCATCATGTGTCTAGTTTCGGTAAACCCTTCAATAAAGAGGAACAACATATTTTTTAAAGACGTTCCTGTATGACGGCTGTTTTGAAAGTTACATTCAGCTGTAAATTCTGGAAAGATCTAGTCTGAACGATTTAGGCTCTTGATCGATACAAGGTAGCATAATATAATCCCAACAATATAATTCTAGTCATGCTAAGAGAACAAGGCCTGCAATTCCAATATAATTAAATTAAGTAAATAAAATTATTCAGAATTCTTATGTTTGATCAGCGAGTCCTCTTTGTTGTTCGTCCGTCCTTGTTGTCGATGATCAAGAATAACGGGAGGACACCGATTAAGTACCGTGGTACGGTTGTGGTTGATCAATCGCATCCAATATAAGCGCAGAAGGATCTGGCGCACTCCGGACATTTCTTGGGCAGGTGGCAAGAAAATTACTTCAGATTTGCGCACCTTGAATTTCCTCTGAGCATCTGCTATTCTGTTCTGCTCGAACAGGCCAGCGCCTTTTGTTAATTTTGCAACACCAGGCTGGTCGGTCAAGTGCTAGAGTCTCTAAGATTTCAACATTAATATCAACGTTTTTCAGTGACGCTTTAGGACAGTCCTTTGTAGCGCGTCTTCTGTCCACTGACCCTGTGAGTGTTTCCGCTCCCCTAATTCGCCGTAGAACAGTCTTTTGGAAAGGTTGTGTGTGTCAGGCATTCTGACAAGACAGCCAGCTGACCTTACCTGGGCCGGGCTGAGTGTGAATGCCTGGCATGCAGGTCAGCAAGAGATAGGACCTCAGTGTCAGGGAGGTTTTCGAGCCAGATGATCTTCAACAGTGTTCTGAGGAAGTTCAGGTGGAATCTTTTAAGGTCTTTGACGTGGCGTTTGTGGACTGTCCATGTCTCACAGGCATACAGTGGTGAGGACAATAAAGTAGAAAAGTGTGATAATGTGCAGAGCTGTTGTTTATCCATTACTTTTTCACGTGCCACCACTCTGGTTGCTTGCGATGCGTACTGCAGGCACAAAGCAATTCAGAACATATACAAGGCAATTTAAAGTAGACATTGCAATGCTCATATTGTACATCAAAAATTGTGCGTATTAACGCTATACGTCTTTCGAACACCTGTAAATAGTTCCGCCATACACATTCTTTCGCGTAAAGACTTTGGCATAAAGTAATTTGCATGCGACTATTAAATCCTCTTGGATGGTCTTTTTCTGGGGGGTTTGCCTGACTGTCAGTTATACAGGGAATTTACGGCTGGAAAATCAAAAGGTGAACAAAGATCGGGACAGTAGGCCCATGTACCATCTCAGACGAGGTGGCCGAGTGGTTAAGGCGTTGGACTGCTAATCCAATGTGCTCTGCACGCGTGGGTTCGAATCCCATCCTCGTCGTTGGGTCCTATATATTTTTTCCTCTCAAGAGCTTGGTCTTCCACCAAGGCTTCTGATAACAATTAAAAATACCACCTTAGAAGTGGTCGCGTTCTTTTTCTTCAACAACGTTTCCCCCCTTCCCCTAGCCCGTCTCAGAGCTTATTCGCCAAGTCGCGTAACTGTGAGTGCTTGTTTCGCATGTAACGTTATCACACCTTTTTAATTCATTAATCCAAAACATTCCTCTGTAGTCAACCAGGCGTTCTCCGTTAGCCTTTATACTTAAAGTTTTTTTTGTTTATAATGTCACACTTGGCTATTTAAACAACACAACATAACATGATCAAAACAGGATAGACTTGACATGACATGACACTATTTTCCGGAATTGCCCCAAGCTTTTATTTCAAAGAGAGGCTAAGTGCGGCACTATTGATATGAAAATGTTGTTTTATTCGCATGCCACTAAAACTCATTTCCACAAGAAAGGTTTTTTACGTAGGCTAGTTTTGTAAATGAGACTTTTTGGAACTCTGTAATGGCCTAATCTTTGCCTTGGTGACAAGAGGGGTCAATTCAATAAAACTTTCAAAATTTATTTTAGAAGTGTCGCCATTGTTTTCGAACTCTAAAACCCCTCAAGCGAAAGTATTGAATTGATCCTAGCAATAGAGCTACAACATATATGATCTTACTATGTGAAAAATTAACTTTGCGACACATAAACACCGTCGACAGCTACAACCCCGCTCTCTTTTGGGTTCTATCGATGTTAGCTCATGTTGTGTGTCGATGTTGTGTTCTATCGATGTTGTGTTGAGTTAGTTAATTTTCACGTAGTACGATCAGCTTTGCAGATTTCAATCTATCTATTTGGTATATTTTTGCAATCAGGTCTTGTTAGATCCTACGTTCTACGGTGTATTCGTCACTGTTTGATGTCTCTTGCAGTTAATGTTCATTTATAGTTTAAGATATATATCCGCCTGTTTCACGTGTCCTTCTATTGTGATTAGGTGTTTAAAAGGGAAATCTTGACGTTTTACTTCTGAAGTTATTCACAATTCACCGCATCTCAACACTAGGGCTTAAACCAAATTACTGAAGTAGAGCGGAGGAGCCTGGTTATAACGGATACCAAAAATCAAAGTCAGTTTCTGTGATGCTTTAGTTTATGCTGGGAGCTCCCTGAGCGTGCACAATACTCATTAACTACTCTGTAACAGAAATGTTGATATATATGAATGAGTAAATGTATGAATGCAATGTCGCGGATGAGCGGAAAATAGACGATGGTCCATAATGATATGAGCTCACTTCAACCCACCCAGCCCATAACCGCCATACATGAATATACAAGAGCCATGATGGGACATAGCTCTTGACATTAAGATAGATCACGATACAACACGGGGAAACTTCCCTTTTCTTTTCGAACAGGTTCTAAAGACCTCATCAATTTTACCAATGAAAGAAGGATGAAGGAGACAAGACCAACGCCCTAATCAATGTCACAAGCCAATGACTAAATAATCTGAACTGAGACAAGGTCTTACACAAATCACAACCAACATGATCTTACCCGAGTTATTTAAAAAACCTCGTGCTCCGGCCGGACTTGAAGCGGTGTCCTCCAGTTCGATAGACTGGACGTCGCAAACTCCTCATGCCCGTACATCCAAAAGTTAACTTCTCAATCCCCTTACGATGGCCAATCAATCAACTCAGCTGATAACAGTCTAAAACGAACGGCTCCTCTTCACTTGAAGGCCTGAATGCCTTACAAGTTTTGCGACTTAAACCACGATAAGAATAAGTAACAAATTAAAAAATAATGCCAGGCCTTTTCCCTGTGTTATCCCTTTACTCAAGTTATCTTCAGGGATTTCAGTTACATAATCGATAGGAGATTCAGAATTCCAAAACTTGTTTCTTTGCAATGGATTCCAATTATTCCAATTTGTTTTAACTGCTGTCTTGCAGGTGTTTTCTCACCACAAGAGAGACGAGGTGGCCGAGTGGTTAAGGCGTTGGACTGCTAATCCAATGTGCTCTGCACGCGTGGGTTCGAATCCCATCCTCGTCGTTCTTTTTTTCATTAAGGCTTCAGAAAAAAATAATTGACACAAAATACTCAAAATCAAGTCTTATCTTCCCTTTTATTAACGTTTTCTGCCTCTTTTCAGCCCGTTTCAATGTCTCAGAGCCTAGAGCTAAGTCGCATCATTCACTGTGCATGCTTGTTTGACCACAGAAGAATCGGGCGCAAATTAAGAATTTTCAACGACAAAAAAGCTCATCATTTTGAGGAAAACGAAGGACAGTTACGTCAACTAATGTTAAATGAAATCACGCTAAATGAAAAAAAATATGCCACAGACGTTTGACCGCGATGGAGACACAATCAGACCAGTCAATTCCTTCCTATTCCCCAACCTCGTCCTCAGTATCATTTCGTTTTCCAAAATGGGGTCGTCCGATTCTTCTGTGTAGTAAGCGAAACGTCATTCATAGTAAGCCGTAGTGACTGTAGAAGCTGGCCAATTTGTCAACATAACAAAACATTTCTATCATTGCACATAAACACATATCGACGACATTCCAGTCCTAGCGGTATGCAGAATGTTTGTCACATTAACTTACGTAGATAATGTGAGATGTTATGAGACGAGGTGGCCGAGTGGTTAAGGCGTTGGACTGCTAATCCAATGTGCTCTGCATGCGTGGGTTCGAATCCCATCCTCGTCGTTGGGTCTCTTCGGGACTCGTCAGGACTCTTCGGGTCTCGTCGTAGTCATCTTTTTTAGCGCAGCAAAGGTCTCTCTCTTCCGTCGAGGCTTCAATGAACAATCCTCATCGCTTTCTTTGCCGCCAGTTTAAAACCTTGTACACATACCTTAGTGGTTTAAGATACGCTTCGCGAAAATGCGACAATTTTCCTCCTCTTTCGCGAAGACCTTCTCCT